TCTACCATTCTGGGGTCTAGAGGATGGTGGCCCTCTTCTCACAGCTCCACTAGGCAGTGCCCCAGTAGCGTCTCTGGGTGGAGGCTCTGACCCCACATTTCCCTTCTGCACTGCCCTAGCAGAGGTTCTTCATGAGGACCCAGCCCCTGCAGCAAACTTTTGTCTGGGCATCCAGGCATTTCCATACGTCCTCTGAAATCTAGGCGGAGGTTCCCAAACCCCAATTCTTGACTTCTGTGCACTTGCAGGCTCAAAACCACGTGGAAGCTGCCAAGGCTTGGGGCTTGCACCCTCTGAAGCCACAGCCCAAGCTCTACATTGGCCCCTTTCAGCCACAGCTGGAGCAGCTGAGACACAGGGCACCAAGTTCCTAGGCTGTACACAGTGCGAGGACCCTTGGCCCAGCCCATGAAACCACATTTTCCTTTGAGGCCTCTGAGCCTGTGATGGGAAGAGCTGCTGTGAAGACCTTGACATGCCCTGGAGACATTTTCCCCATTGTCTTGGCGATTAACATTTGGCTTCTCGTTACCTATGCTAAGTTCTGCAGCCAGCTTGACTTTCTCCTCCGAAAATGGGATTTTCTTTTCTATCACATTGTCAGGCTACAAATTTTCCAAACTATTATGCTCCACTTCCCTTATAAAACTGAATGCCTTTAACAGCACCCAAGTCACCTCTTGAATACTTTGCTGTTTAGAAATTTCTTCTACCAGATACCTTAAATCATCTCTCTCAAGTTCCAAGCTCCACAAATCTCTGGGGCAGGGGCAAAATGCTGTCAGTCTCTTTGCTAAAACATAACAAGAGTCACCTTTGCTCCAGTTCCCAACAAGTTCTTCATCTCCATCTGAGACCACCTCAGCCTGGACCTTATTGTTCATATCATGATCAGCATTTTTGTCAAAAGTCATTCAACGAGTCTCTAGGAGGCTCCAAACTTTCCCACATTTTCCTGTCTTCTTCTGAGCCCTCCAAACTGTTCCAACCTCTGCCAGAGACCCAGTTCCAAAGTTGCTTCCACATTTTTGGGTATCTTTTCAGCAATGCCCCACTCTACTGGTACCAATTTACTGTATTAGTCCATTTTCATGCTGCTAATAAAGACATACCCAAGACTGGGAATAAAAGGTTTATTTGAACTTACAGTTCCACATGGCTAGGGAGGCCTCAGAATCATGGTGGGAGGTGAAAGGCATTTCTTGCATGGCAGCAGCAAGAGAAAATGAGGAAGATGCAAAAGTGGAAACCCCTGATAAAACCATCAGATCTCATGAGACTTATTCACTATCATGAGAAGAGTATGGGGGAACCCGCCCCCATGATTCAAATTATCTCCCATCATTCAAATTTTATCCCACTGGGTCTTTCCCACAACACATGGGAATTATGGGAGTACAATTCAAGATGAGATTTGGGTGGGGACACAGAGCCAAACCATATCAGTGGGGGAAGCTTCCTAGGTGAGATGACTTTTGAGTCCAACAGAATAAAGAGTAATTTCTTTACTCTGGGGTGGAGGTAGTGAGATGGGGAAAAATAGGCAAAAAATGGCATTCTAATAAGAAAGAATAATAGTTGCAAAATCAATTTGGATTTTTAAAAATTTTTTTTATAGAAATCATAAAGGGGGCCTGGTGTGGTGGCACACACCTGTAATCCTAGCACTTTGGGAGGCTAAGGTAGGAGGATCGCTTGAGCTCAGGAATTGGAGACTAGACTGGGCAACACAGGGAGTCCCAATTTCTAGAAAAAAAAAAGTAGCCCAGTATAGTGGCATATACCTATGGTTCCAGCTACTTGGGAGGCTGAGGTAGGAGAAGGTCAAGGTTGCAGTGAACCATGATCACCCCCATTGTACTCTAGTCTGGGTGACAAAGCAAGACTCTGTCTCAAAACAAAACAAAACAAAAAAGGAAGGAAGGAAGGAAATACAAAAAGAAAGGAAAGGAAAAGAAAGGAAAGGAAAGTAAGGAAGGAAGGAAAAAAAAAGAAAAGAAAAAGAAAAGAAAAAAAGGAAAGAAAGAAAAAGAAAGGAAAGAAAGAAAGAAAGAAAAGAAAGGAAAGAAAGAAAGAAAAAGAAAGAAAAGAGAAAGAAAGAAAGAATCACAATGGGATTTTGCTAAATTTTTAAATTAGTTTGGTGGAAATGGACAACTTTACAATATTGACTGTATTATTTTTCCATATATTCGAGTCTTTACTTGTATCCTTTATGGAAATATGTAAGTCAGGTTAAAGTATAAATACTGTTGTTAGGTAAGATCTGAGTCTTACTCCTGTTATATAGTATATGAGACTTGGACCTTGGTCAAGTTACTCCTAAGCCTCAATTTCTTAGTTTGTACAATAGGGGTGATTGTAATACCAACTTCATGGGTTGTCATCAGTATTAAATAACATATTGCATGTAAAGTGCCTAACCAAGTGCTTTACATATCATATACAATCAAATAAAAAGCTACTTCTTCCCCCCTCCCTTTTTAAATGGCTTTATTTAGGTATAATTGACACACAATAAGCACTTATACATAAACATATTTACAGTGTACAATTTGGTAAGTTTTGACATATAAACATCCATGCAACCATTACAACAATCAAGAAAATGAACATTTTTATCACCCCCAAAGTTTCCTCATGGCCCTTTGTGATCTTTCCTTCCACCCCTATCCCTCATCTAGCTTTCTCAATTCTTCAAATAGGTCTTGTAATTCTTTATAAACACGAACTTGAATTTTGTTATTTTTGAATGTAATATTTCTCCTATTTCAATTTTTTTTTTTTTTTTAAGAGACAGGGTGTCAGTCTTTTGTCCAGGCTGGAGTACAGTGGTAGAATCATAGCTCATTGCAGCCTCAAACTCCTGGGCTCAACTGGTCCTCCTGTCTCAGCCTCCTGAGTAGCTGAGACTATAGGTACATGCCACCATACCCAGCTACCTTTTCTTTTTTAGAAATGGGGTCTTACTATTTTGCCCAGGTTGGTCTTGAATTTCTAGCCTCAAGCAATCCTCCCTCATCAGCCTCCCAAAGTGCTGAGATTATAGGCATGAGCCATCACGCCCAGTCTTCTTCCCACTGCATTTTAAAATTGATGATTGTTGTTTAGGAGAGGTGTTTTATAGCCACCTTATTGAATTAGTTTCAATTTATTCCATGGATTTTCCAAGAAAGCAATCAATCATAATACTCTAAAAGAATTTATTTTTTATTTTCTTTCCAACATATATACTTAATGTTTTGTTTTGTTTGGACTTGCTGGGTTCAGTTAGGACTTCAGGAAAATGTTGGCTAGTAGTAGCAGGCCTGCCCCTAACAACTTGATGACCCAGATTACAGAAAGAGGTCTATACACCATAAGTTTGAATATTTAAAGATTATACATCAAGCTAACCAACAGTGAGATTGAAAAGTTTTGGCCAGGCACGGTGGCTCACACCTGTCATCCCAGGACTTTGGGAGGCCGAGGTGGGTGGATCACGAGGTCAGGAGATTGAGACCATCCTGGCTAACATGGTGAAACTCTGTCTCTATTAAAAATACAAAAAATTAGCCAGGCATGGTGGCAGGCGCCCATAGTCCCAGCTACTCAGGAGGCTGATGCAGGAGAATCGCTTGAATCTGGGAGGTGGAGGTTGCAGTGAGCTAAGATCATGTCACTGCACTCCAGTCTGGGCGACAGAGCAAGACTCTGTTTCAAAAAAAAAAAAAAAGTTTTATCCTACTACTTTGACACATCTAACTTATAGCAAACATACACATAGCAACTTAGAAGTCCAGGTCCAAATTTAGAATCTTTGAGTACCACACTTCCCGATTTTGTACCTGAGGAAGTTCTTCAGAACTTAACACAAATGATCTTTCATTTCAGAAGGTCTTATTTCACTGATCCTTGCATAAACATCATTTTCTCATGATATTGACTAATACTTTAATTTTTCTCCTTAGAATCAAAATTTGATAAATACATTCTGGGGCTCATTGTAAAACAAACATCGGCATACATTATGTTCCCAAAGAAAATCCAAATTGCTTGGTAGATTTGGTGCTTTGTTTTAGAAATTGTCTTTCAAGGCTTTTTAAAGGATCTACAGGCCCCTAATCTTCCCTGGTCCACAATTTCTACCTCCAATTCTACTGGAAGACCCTAAGAACTGAGTTTCCTTAACTGTGGTTTGAACATCCTGATCACTCCTGAGACAATACCATTAGTGAATACATTCTAAGCACGTCATCTGAATATTCACAGACATCTTTTAAAAACGGCTGGATCTGGAAGTTAGGCCATAAAGAGAGGAAGACCTGTGACTTGGACAAGGCTTCAAAGCCGGTCACCTGCTTGTTCATGTGGTAGCAGCTGGTCTAACTGGAATAACTTGGGAAGGAAATTAGGACACACAGTTGGAGTTCCAGCTCTGTCATAAGCTGGCTAAACTGGAATGAGTCACTTAAAACTCTTTGTTAAACCCCAGAGTCATAATCTATAAAATCGGGATAAAGAAGTTTGCCTTAAGCCCTCCACCAGTTTTTGGAGGAAACCACAACTGACTGAGCTTTAATTTTTGCACCTGTTGCAATTAAGATGGCACTCCTGCCCTGTCCACTTCACAGGGTTTTTGGGGATGGGATGGGAAGGCAAAACCTTTCTGAGCTTCAGTTTCAAAACAGAGCTAAGAATACATGCCCAACCCGCAAATAAAATTCTAGGAAGAACAGAGGAAAATAGACAGGAAAACTGCAAAATGCAGTCGGCCATACAAGCATGAATTGTCTTGAACGCAACAAGCAGACCTGAAGAGGGTTTGTGCGTCTCTCTCCTCTTGGCTCGAGTCACAACCCCATAATGTAAATCAAAATCACTTTTGAAAAAGGCTTTCGCTGTTCAGAGCGGCGTCCGCATCTGTACTCACCTGCGCGTCCCCCGCACCCCACCTGGTTGCTTCGCGGGACGGGTAGGGGACGAGGAGGGGGCGGGGCCCAGCCCAGCCCACGCCTCGCGATGCCCTGCCCCGTCGCTCCTGCGCCTGCGCCGTGTGCACCGACCGGCCTCGAGCGCCACGGCGGGAGGTAAGGGGCTCTCTGGAGGCCGCCTCTGGGGGCGTCGGGCCCTGATAGGCTTGGTGGGCCGGGCGCCCTGTGGCGCGCGCAAGAGGCGCTGGGAGGCAAGTGGGGCATTGAATCAGAAGTACGAGCCCCATGGTGGCTGCTCCTGTCTTTCAGAAGTGGCGGAGCCTCTCTCGGTTTCGTTTTTGGAAGCTTTATTAGAAACTGCTATAGGGAGGCCGCAGACGATGCGAGCGGGACGGCCTTCCGGGGTCGCAGGGTGGAAAAGTTTCCGACGCGCGTCCTGTCTCTGGCGCGCTGTAGGCCTCGGGTCGCCAGGGTCGCTGGCGTCTGGGTTCCGGGACAGACCCGCGCATCCGTTCGCTGGTGGGGGCGTTTGTTGTGTGTGGCCCAGGTGTGCTGTGGGTGACACTGCGAGGAATGAGGCGACGCTCGAGGGTAGTGGGGAGTGGACAGGGAGCGAGAGGCCGAAAGCCCCTGCTCGCCAGACCCAGAGGTGGTTCGCAGAAGGTCCCACCCCTTGGCTCCCTCCTTTTAGCTATCTGAGGTTCAGAGAGGAGACCTTACATTGACTTTTCTCTCCAAATTCACTATCTCTTCCATAACTCAAACCCAAAGCGGCGGGCCCGAAGAAATCGGGCGCCACCAGTATCCCGAAAAGTGGGGCCTCTGAGCCGATGGAAGATGTTCGTCACTTTTGGGGGCTGGGTTTTCTGAGAAATGGGGCCTTTCACTTATTAATAACCTCCCAAGTAACTTACTGGGAAACATGAGTATTATGGTACCCATCTCACATTAGTTGTAAGCACTACATGATAAAGTTTGTAAAGCACCTGGCATAGTCCTGGCACCCCTCTCTCCAAGTATTAATGCAGTGAATACGATTGCAGTTCTTTGACTTCTAAATGTTTCTACCTGTCTTACCTGAAACATCTTCTTATACATAAAAAACCTTTTTTGAAATAATTTTACAATTGCAGAAAAGTTTCAAAAGTAGTACAGAGTTCCCTATTGCTTCCATTAATAATTTTTTAGATACCATAGCGCAATTATCAAAAGCAGGAAGTTGGTATTAGTATAATACTATTAACCGAATTACTGACTTGTGATTTTTTTTTTTTTTTTCCTGTATTAATGTCCTCTTTCTATTCCAGGATCTACTCTAAGACCCGACATTGCAGTTAGTTGTCTTGGGTCCTTGGTCTTCTCCAGTCTGTGACAGTTCCTCAGTCTTTTCCTGTCTTTACATTGATAGTCTTTTTCAGTCTTTATACTCTTTCTGATCTTTACACTTTTGAAGAATGCTGGTCAGTTATTTTGTAGAGTGCCCCTCAAATGGGGTTTGTCCAATGTTCTCTCATGAGTAGATTAAGGCTATGCTTTTTTGTTAAGAACACAAAAGTGTGTGTGCCCTTCTCAGTTCATCATATGAGCGTAGCTGATATATATGACTTATTGCTTGTGAGGTTACTCTTGATCACTTGGTAAGAGAGTGTCTACTGGGATTCTCCAATGTAAAGGTCTTATTTTTTCTCCTTATAATTAATTGACATCTTGGGGGAGCTTTTAAACTGTACGCATATCCTGTTTCTCCTCAGACTTTCCCTTGCTAAATTTCACATCCATTGGTGGATCTTGCCTTCAGCAATTATGACTATGGTGTTCTAATGATGATTTTCTACTTTCCTCATTTCTTTATTTATTAATTGAAATTATTCTGTAAGGATGAGCTGCGCTTTTCCCATTTGTTTATTTGTATTCCGTTAGTTATTTGTATCCGTGTGGACTCAGATGTTTTTCTATTGGTTTTTATCTTACACTTGTGTTATTTTATGTGTGAAATTGTTCCAGCTTTGATCATTGGAGTTTTTGTTTTGTTTTTTGTTTTTTTTTTTTCAGGTTGCTTTCTGTAGCTTTTCAGCATGCTTCCATCTTTTTTTTTTCTTTTTTGGAACTTCCGAATTTTCTGGTACCATATGGTGCCCCAGGCTCATCTTATGTTTTCTGTGCCTCAGCCCTGATAATCAGCCACTTCTCCAAAGACCCATAGTTTCTTTTTTTAGAGAATAGTATTTAAACACAAAGATCTGTGCTCTAGGGATGTTCATTGCTCTGGGGTAACATTACTTCCAGGGCCCCACAGAAGACACCAGTCTATACATATGCATACCCATGTATACACAAAGATCTGTATTTATTTCTGTATTTATTTATCCATATATTTTTTAAAAACAAAAGTTCATCCCAGTAGCTTTGCTTCTAGTCTAACACCACAGGGTTCATTCTAGTTTTGTCCCTTATTTTTAACTTCTTTATCTGACAGTGAGAAATCTAACTCTTGTATTCTACAAAATATGTGTATCCTAGTATACACATAAAGTAATTTCAGGATTTCTGACCTATATTCCTGTGAGAAACACATTTACTAAATAGAGGACAGTGTAGTTCCTTTTGTCTCTAGTCTTACAGTATTCAGTTAAAATATTGTTCTCTAAAGTGGCTTAGATTATTTTTCTTCCTCACTTCTTTCAGTGTGGTTATGCTATTCATTTATAATACAGTTTATGTTTTTATAGTTTCTATTCCATTTTGGAGGGAAAGAATCTAAAGGTAGACTAATTGAAGCTCCTCCATTATCATGTGCTATGCATATTGTGCTATTTGACTAGAGTGAGAGGATTAGCAATGGTGAAGAAATATTTTAGTTCAGGCAGCATCTATTGAACAACAGGTGTGTTCAAAAAACATTTTGATAGGAATGATGGTAGATATAAAGATATCTCTTTGCAGTATAGAAGAAAACAAAAGAGGCAGTGTGATAGATTGGGAAATGTTAATGTTAGACAAGTAATTGATATATTTAACATTTAATAACCTTTTATGAGAGAATAAGAGAAAGACATCCTCTGTAGTAAAACAGATATGTATGACATGAACAGGCAATTCATGGAAGTAAGAAATGCAATGGTTACAAAAAAATAGTGAGAAAGAATGAATAAAATCTAGTACTTGATAGCAGAACAGGGTGACTATAATAATTCAATTGTACATTTAAAAATAACTAGGAGTATAACTGGATTGTTTGTATCACAAAGAATAAATGCTTGAGGTGATGGATACCTCATTTACCCTAATGTGATTATTATACATTGTATGCCTGTATCAAAATAACTCATATATCCCATAAATATATACCTACAACTAATATATACCCACAAAAATTAAAAATTAAAAAAAGAAGAAATGCAGCAGGGCACAGTGCCTCATGCATATAATCCTAGCACTTTGGGAGGCCAAGGCAGGTCGATCACCTGAGGTCAGGAGTTGGAGACCAGCCTGGCCAACATGGTGAAACCCCATCTCTACTAAAAATACAAAAATTAGCAGGGTGTGGTGGTGCGTGCCTGTAATCCCAGTTACTTGGGAGGCTGAGGTAGGAGAATCACTTAAACCCGGGGAGTGGAGGTTGCAGTGAGCTGAGATCACACCACTTCACTCCAACCTGGGCCAAAAAAAAAAAAAAAAAAGGAAAAAAAGAAATGCAAATGGCTGATAAATCCATCCCGTTAGTAATTTAAGGAGTGCAAAGTAAAGCAATAATGAGACATCATTTTTTTCACCAATGACATATCTTTTTTTTTTTTTTTTTTTTTGAGACGGAGTCTCACTCTGTCGCCCAGGCTGGAGTGCAGTGGCCGGATCTAGGCTCACTGCAGGCTCCGCCTCCCGGGCTCATGCCATTCTCCTACCTCAGCCTCCCGAGTAGCTGGGACTACAGGCACCGCCACCATACCCGGCTAGTTTTTTTGTATTTTTAGTAGAGACGGGGTTTCACCATGTCAGCCAGGATGGTCTCGATCTCCTGACCTCGTGATCCACCCGTCTTGGCCTCCCAAAGTGCTGGGATTACAGGCTTGAGTCACCGCGCCCGGCCTCACCAATGGCATATCTAAGAATGATAATACTAAGTACATTGGTTGGAATATGGATAAATGGACATCGTGTTAAGTTTCTGGTAGGAACATAGTAGGCATAACCTTTTGTGGGATATGGCAATATATATTAAAAAAAAAACCTTGAAAAATCTGTCTGCCTAATAATTCTATTTCTAGATATTTATTTTTTATTTTTATGTAAATTTTTTCAATTAATACACAATAATTTTACATACTTATAGGATACATGTGATATTTTGATACATGCATACAATGTGTAATGATCAAATCAGGGTATTTGGGATATATATCACCTCAAACATTTATTATTTTTTTGTGTTAGAAGCACTTCAGATCTTCTCTTCTAGCTATTTTGAAATACGCAATAAATTATTAACTATAGGTACCCACTGTGTTATTAAACATGAAAAATTTATTCCTTCTATCTAACTGTATGTTTGTACCCATTTACCGACTTCTCTTCATCCCTCCCGCCCCTTCCCATCACTCTACTTTCTACCTCCAGGAGATCAACTTTTTTTCCCTGTTTTTATTTAAGAAATGGGGATCTCTTTATGTTGCCCAGGCTGGCTTCTAATTCCTGGGCTCAAGTGATCTTCCTACCTCGGCTTCCTGAGTTGCTGGGAGTACAGGCTACATGTTCCATCCATGTTGCTATAAATGACAGGATTTCATTCTTTTTTTTTCTTTTTTTTTCTCCGAGACAGAGTCTCACTCTGTTGCCCAGGCTGGAGTACGGTGGTGAGATCTGGGCTCACTGCAACCTCCGCCTCCTGGGTTCAAGCGATTTTCCTGCCTCAGCCTCCCAAGTAGCTAGGAATACAGGTGCATGCCACCATGCCCAGCTAATTTTTTGTATTTTTAGTAGAGATGGGGTTTCACCATGTTAGCCGGGATGGTCTCGATCTCCTGACCTGGTGATCGGCCCGCCTCGGCCTCCCAAAGTGCTGGGATTATAGGCGTGAGCCCCCACGCCCAACCCATTTTTTTTTTTTAAATGGCTGAACGATATTTCATTGTGTATATATACCAAAATTTCTTTATCCATTCATCCATTGACAGACACTTAGGTTGATTCCGTATCTTGGCTATTGTGAATGCTGCTGCAATAAACATGGGACTGTAGGTATCTCTCTGATACACTGATTTTCTTTCCTTTTGATAAATACCCAGTAGTGGGATTGCTGGATCATATGGTAGTTTTAATTTTTTTGAAAAGCCTCTGTACAGTGTTTTTTTTTTTTTTTTTTTTTTTTTTTTTTTTTGAGACAGGATCTCGCTGTGTTGCCTATGCGGTAGTGTAATAGTAAGAACACCGTTTCCTGCAGGCTCACACTTTAGGGCTCAAGGGATCTTCCCACCTCAGTGTCACTGGGACTACAGGCACACACCACCACACCCAGCTAATTTTTAAATTTTTCAGAGAAGAAGGGTCTTGCTGTGGTGCCCAGGCTACCCTCAAACTCCTGGCCTCAAGTGATCCGCCTGCTTCAGCCTTCCAAAGTGCTGAAATTACAGCTATGAGCCACCATACCTAGCCCATACTGTTTTTCATAATGGCTGTACTAATTTACATTCTCACCAACAGTGTATAAGAGTCCTCTTTCTCGCCGGACATCATGGCTCATGCCTGTAATCCCAGCACTTTGGGAGGCTGAGGCGGGTGGATCACCTGAGGTCAGGAGTTCGAGACCAGCTTGACCAACATGGCAAAACCCCGTCTCCACTAAAAATACAAAAATTAGCTGGGCGTGGTGGCATGTGCTTGTAATCCCAGCTACTCGGGAGGCTGAGGCAGAAGAACTGCTTGAACCCAGGAGGCTGAGGTTACAGTAAGCCGAGATTGTGCCACTGCCCTCCAGCCTGGGCGACAAGAGCGAAACTCTCTAAAAAAAGAAAGAAGAAAAGAAAAAAGAGGCTTCTTTTGCTACATCCTCACCAGCGTTTGTTATTTTTTATCCTTTTGGTAATAGCCCTTGTAACTGGGGTGAGATGGTATCTCATTGTGGTTCTGATTTGCATTTCCTTGATGATTAATGATATTGAGCATTTAAAAAAATACCTTTTGGTCATTTGTATGTCTTCTTTTGAGAAATGTCTATTCAGGTTCTTTGCCCACTTTTTTACGGAACTATTTGTTTTTTTGCTGTTGAGTTGTTTGAGTTCCTTATACATTTTAGATGTTAGTCCCTTATTGGATGACTGGTTGGCAAATACTTTCTCCCTTTATACAGGTTGTGTCTTTGTTGATTGTTTTAAAGAAATAATTATAGATGGCAGTATGGATTTATGTGTAAGCAGGGTAATTACACTGTAGTTTGTAATAGTGGAAGATTGGAAACAACCTAAATAGCCAACAATAGCCGATTTGTAAAATTGTGAAGCATCTATGTAATTATAGAAAATTATTCACATGGAAACATTTTTATTATACTTCATCATGCTATTCAAAATAAATGTTTTATTTTATTTTCTTTCATCCACCCATTTATTCTATCCTGTAACAGTTTATTCTATTCATTGCTATTCCATATTCTATTCTTGCTATTCCACTCCTTTGGGTTTATTTTCTTTATTGTTAAAATATTCCTTTTAGTACTTTTAATGAGGAGCTTGGCAATAAACTCTCTTAGTCCTTGTATGTCTGAAAATGATTATTTTGCTTTCATTCTAAATGATAATTTACCTGGGAATATACCAACTTTCTCAGCACTTTGAAGGTATTTCTGTCTTTTAATATCTTGCTCTTAAAAGCAAGATATTATTGCTTTATCTGTCTTTTATCTCTCATTTGTTTTTTTATGATTCTTGTTCTTTAATGTTTTGCAATTTCCCTTCCATGTATTTAGGCAAATTTGGTTTCTTTTTAATTTATGCTACTTGAGGCTGATGTGCTTTTTCAGTTTGAGGTCTTACATTTTAATTATCCGTATATTCTCTTTGAATAATTCCTTCTTACCATTTTCTTTGTTCTTTCTTTCTGGGACTCCTACTTGTTATTGAGCTTCTCATTTTATCCTTTATGTCTTTTATCTTCTTTTTTATACTTTTCATCTTTTTATTCCTCTGTGTTCTGAGTGATTTCTTCCAATCAATAATTGTCTCTTATCTATATAATTTACTGTTTAACACATCTTTTGAGATTTTCATTTTTAGAAGTTTTACTTCGTTTATATTCAGGCTGGCCTCTTACTGTTTCGTAATATCTATTTTTTTAAAGATTTTATTCCTTCCTTTATGTTTTTGGATATTTAAAAATATACTTTCTTTAATTTCTTTTTAAAATTATTTTATTATCTTTAGTCCATTAGCTATGAATTTTCCTGTTTTGTTGGGTCTGTGGATGGTCTCTTTTGGTAATGAATTTCTCCATATGTCCCCAGTTTCCATTCACTGTTGCACCTGTTTTACTCTCTTTGTTTTTGTACCTGGAGATTTTCCTTTTTTACTTTTGAACTTGTGTCAGACATAAAAACCAAGTTACTAATGGGTAGGTATTAGAGGCAGTCTGTATAACTAACACATCAAGATTTTCAACTGTGAAAGAAAGGGAATAAATATTTAATGTTTTGGGGATGATAGATCTCTGAGAATCTCTTGAAACAATGGGCTCTATTCTCCATAATAAACTACATTCACTTTTTTTTTTTTGGTAGAGATGGTACTTCGGCATATTACCCAGGGTGGCCTTGAACTCCTGGGCTCAAGTGGTCCTCCTGCCTTGGCCTCCCAAAGTACTGGTATTCCAGACATGAGCCACGGTACCTGGCCCCTTCATTCATAAATTTTCATAAAGATTCAGGGGCTCCACAAAGTTTGTATGTGAATTCCTGTCTCTATAGACCCTGGACTAAGACAGCACTACTCAGTAGTATTAACATTCTCAACTTAAAATTTTTTAAACATGGGTGAGGTTGTGGTTAATGAAATGGCATGAAAGCATGGTTTACAACGGTAGCTTTCAAGCTTGGTTAAGCTGTAAAGCCCGTTATTTATATAAGCTCTGATAAGCTCCAATTCATAAAATAGTTGTAAGTAAAGTTTCTACAACTGAAGTAGGGGGTGGGGTCCTGGAACCTGCTCACCTGTATACCCTACCCTTGTACTCTGGCCCCAAATGCATACCCTTGGACTTTCTGGAACACTAGTAGGAAACTACTGGTGGAGTAGAAAAAGTATTTCGATGTAATTTTAGAAAATCTGGGTTCTTATTCCAGCTCTGTCACTGGTTATTTGAGTCAGTTATAGGCAATACTAATCACTTTATTGAAAATGAAAGAGGCAATTTAAAGGATATTAATGAGAAGAGTTGCATATTATGTTATAATATATTTGAGGTTGTGTAATTACAAAGTTACATTATGATGACATTAGATGTGAAGTTTGATACAAGCATCAGTGTTAAGCCATTTGATACCTTTTTTAAAAGGGTTATTCAATGTCCAAGATAGATCAGAAAATGAAAACTTGGATAGTATACTCCTATTTTTTTTTTAAAGTATTTATAAACATACATACATACTTACATAGAAAAAGGCCTGGAGAGACCTATGCCAAAATGTAAAGAGTGCATTTTGTACTCTTTGTAAAAGGTGAGGAGATGACTGCTGACTTTATTTTTTTCTTCATTTATTTATATTGTCGGAACATTCTAAAATATAATTTTTGTAAAGAGAAAAAGATTTAAAAATCAGTGGTTTCATAAAGAAAAAACAAGTCACTCAAGCTCAACATTAAGTTGATATGTATTTAGAATAAATTGTAAAACTAATTAATTGTTGGCTTTAAAAAATAGTGGAAACTAATTTGAAAACATTTTTAAAGAAATATTTTTCTTTTAGGTTTTTCTATATGAGTGGAGAAGACAGCTGTTACCAGGGAGGTCATATATCATTTTTTTAGGATGTCTGAAGATGAAGAAAAAGTGAAATTACGCCGTCTTGAACCAGCTATCCAGAAATTCATTAAGATAGTAATCCCAACAGACCTGGAAAGGTTAAGAAAGCACCAGATAAATATTGAGAAGGTGAGCTGTTTCATTTTACTACCACAGGAAATAATTACATAGTCTGATTTATATTGCTTGTTCATTTCAGCTAAATTTAGAGTATTAGATAAGAGGCTTTGCTGAAACACCTAGCTCCTATTGATTTAGCAACATTATGCATTTTTTAGCTGGTTTTTCTGTTCTGCATATATACCTCTCATATATTCCTTTTTCTAGGAAGGGATATAGGAATAGAGTCTATACTTTTGTGTTTGTTTGTTTAAGAGACAAGATCTCGCTCTGTTGCCCAGGCTGGAGTGCAGTGGCATGGATCATAGCCCACTGCAACCTCAAACTTCTGGACTCAAGCTATCTACACACCACCATGCGTGGCTAACTTATTTTTATTTTTTGGAGAAACAGGTTCTTGCTTTTTTGCCCAGGCTGGTCTTGAACTCCTGGCCTCAAGCTGTCCTCCTGTTTTGACCTCCCAAAGTGTTGGGATTACAGGTGTAAGCCATGGCGCCTGGCCAAGTCTATATGTTTTTAATTGTACGTATTGAGGTTTTAGGCAGTTAGTAATTAAGATACAAATTGATTGACAATATACTCTAATGTAAAGGCAGAGAACTTTGGCTAATCTACCTGCCTTAATTTCATTCACCCCATGGCAAGTTTTTGAACTTCGGTAACTCATATCCTCTTTAGGTGTACATACATTAAAGAAGTAAATCATTGTGAGGTATGAGGGAATTTCCTTACTTCACTGCTTCCCTTTGAGGAAAGCTCACAACTGAGAAATACTACCTAAGTCAGTTGAGGAAATAGGTAGAGGGAAGATGAATTAGTCTTAGGGACTATGGTAAAGGTTGCATAGAACCTGCCCTGGTCGGTGAAGTGGTTGTGGCGTTTTTGGAAACATCAAGTTCACTCAGTACTGAGCATTAATTTGGCAGATTATGTTGTCTTATTTGCCATGGGACAGGTTAGTGATATTTTTTGCTTCAAGAAGACTTTTCCCAGAATAAGTCTTAAGCTGCAGAACATTCATTCATTCATTCATTCATTTGAAGGTTGGGAGTAGAGGATATGGTCATGAAGCCTTTCAATATAAACATTATTCATTACTTAACTCAGTAGCATATAGAAGTCAGAAAAGTGTCCCTTTTTCTTCCATAGATACTATCTGTCTTTCTAGAATTCAAGTCCTTTTAAAAGCGGAGAAAATCAGTTCTGAGAATATTAAAATGAAAAGTTTAATGCAAATATGTAAGTCTTTCTAGAATTCAGGATTAGTATTTTGTCATCCCTGCATTTCTTTCTTCTTATAAGCAATAAGTAATACTGTGACTTTTAAGGATGGAGAGGAATTGTTTAGTAAATGGGTTCTTTTTAACATGAATGGAAGCAAATTAAGGCCATTTCTTTCCTTTGTTGTCCTACTTTTCCTTTGAGGTTTGGCATGTCTGTCTTAGATTTTCTTTTTCTTATGTTTATTCTATACAAAAGTGCCTGCTGTCAGTACCCTCAGATCCTTGCTATATATCACCCAATCAGTCATCAATGGAAAAGCTAGGTGGGTGGGGATAGAATGGTTGTATTACTGATTTTATTAGTTGTGCCAGATGTCACAAGAAGATTATTCTAGAATTACGTCCATCCATCTCTGCCGGACATTTTTTTCTTTAGCAATTTATGAAATTTTTACTTACTGTGGAATTTTTAGACAGTATCAGAATAATTATAATTATAATGTAGGTGATATCATCTTAAGCCAAACAGTTAATTTTATACTGATCTATGTTTTATTCCATATCCTGGATCATTCCACTATATCTAGGATGTCTAGCTTAATTATGAAAGCAACTTTTTTTAATCTATATAAGATTGAATAACTTATTTTAATAGATATGTTATAGAAATGTAAAAACATTTAAAAGCTGCAGGGCTCAGTCTGGACAAAAGAGTTAAGAATTAAGTTTGGACTCCAGGTGTCTGACAGTGCCTCACTTTCAAAAAGGCATATTATTCTTGGAGGAAAGGTGTAGAAAGATAAAATATTCATTATGCTGGACATCAGTCATCCAATATGAATTTAAAAGAAGAAAGTCAGACTGAAGGGAAATTGAAGGTAAGCCTTAGTGGAGTGATTCTGCAACATCTGAAAACAATGAGCGTAGTGTGCTGTGGACACCTGGAGCTGTATTCCATAGGTCCTTCATTTTATTATACATGATAAACTTGATTAGAATGTAATCCTGAAATTTGAAGTGTTATCATTCAGCTTTCTTGGCTAATGTAAGATAGACTTAAGCATTGTTAATAGGAATGACAAGATAGTAAGCCTGGAACATAATTTTCTTTGTTTTGTATTGTAAGGATTTGGGGAAAAACTTACTGTATAGCACATACTGTATTAATTATATGGATAAGGTACAAGAGGCAGAAAACTAAAAAATCATATGTTAAATAAGATAGAAGTTTTTTTGTTTTGTTTGGCTTTTGTTTTTAGTCTCATAGTAACAGAGGTAGTCCAGGGGTACAGTGGCTGCTCAGCAATCTTCAAAGATCCAGGCTCTTTTTATCTTACTCTCCCATCCTCAACTTGGTTCTACCTTGTGTGTAAAATGGCTACTCCAGCACCAGCCATCACATCCACATTCCAGCTTGGATGGAATAACCACAATCATACCTTTTCTATGTTCTTTTTTCTCTCGGTGCATTTGTTGTCTCTCTCTCTCTCTTTTTTAAATAGAGACAGAGTCTCACTCTATTGCCCAGGCTGGAGTGCAGTGGTGCAATTATAGCTCACTATAATGTTAAACTCCTGAGTTAAAGCAATCCTCCTGTCTCAGCTTCCTGAATAGCTAAGACTTCCGGTGTGCTCTACCATGTTCAGCTAATTTTTAAATATTTTTGTAGAGACGAGGTCTCACTACATGGGCCCAGGCCCATCTCATCTCAAAGCCCTGGCCTCAAGTGATCCTCCTGCATTGGCCTCTCAAAGTGCTAGGATTACAGATGTGAACAACCATGCCTGACCTCTCCTTTTCTTTTAAAGAGAATTCTCTTTTCATTTTGTGGATGCAGTATAATAACATCTTTCTACAGTTTTTTTTTAAGTTTTCTTCTGCTTCTTTGTCCTGTTTTTCCCAAGTCCCTTTTTTCTTTCTTTCTTTTCTCTCTCTCTCTTTCTTCTGTTTCAGCATATAGTATTATAGGCTTTTCTTGGCTGACTGTTGATATTTTAAAGTGCTGATTGGAAGGTATGTGTGTAAATGTGTTTGTGTGTATGCATGTGGATAGCAGGTTAGAGTGGGGGCTTTGCTGTCTGGAGTGGTGAATAGCTGAGAATCTATTTTAATTGGAGAACCACTAGATATCAGTAACTCTAGGTCTTGTTAGCTGTTCAGTTTTAAGAAAGAGCAATCCTCCTTCTCCTACCTGTTGGGGTATGTTTATTTTTTCAAAGGTGATAGTTGTGGCAGGGGTTGGGGTGGGGAGGTTGGAGGGGTGGATATAGTATGAATTTTGTGACAAGCCTTTTAAGCCAGGGGAAGGAAAGTAGGTGAGGAGGTGAGCAGGCTCACCACCATTCAGATATTTATTGTCCAGGCTTAATCTTCCTGGTTGTGGTGTGGTAACTGATCCCTGCCCTTAGCTGTGCTTGGTGTCCAGGATCCTTAGCGTCTCTAGCCTCTCCAGAGGCTGTCTCCTATAGTATTGTCTTGTGCAGTAGTGGAACAGGGCAGTTGCTTGGGCAAGTATAGAGGGGATCTGGTGGACTACCTGTTCATTACATAAACTTTCAACCAAACCTTTTGCATTTTGCCCCACCATACACTTCCATCTGGTTACCTGGTAGCTGGTACCTTCAGTTGCTTAGTCATTGTTTAGAGACGGGATCTCACCATGCTGCCCAGGCCCATCTCATCTCAAAGCGCTGGCCTCAAGTGATCCTCCTGCATTGGCCTCTCAAAGTGCTAGGATTACAGACGTGAACAACCATGCCTGGCTCTGGCTTGCTTCTCATTGCCACTCTCCCCCACCATGCACCCCTTCTGCAGGCTTACATTTTAGCTTTCTTTGGCTTGCTGAGTCAGTTACAACATATCCATACTCTTTCCAGCTTCCAAAATGTTACAAAATGTTAAATTTTTTTGTTAGTTGATATCTTCTATTCTATTCTCATTATTCTTGTGAATTTATACTTTCTAAAGTTCTTTGTTGTCATTTAGTGGGATTTTGGAAAAGAGTAGAGTTGAATATTTGTGTTCAATCTGCCAGGTTTAATGAGAAGGGAGATTATTTATTATAGGAAATAAATGTTAGCTTTTCATAGATATTTATTGATGTTTGCTGTTTCTTAGATTGTTAGCATTGAAGAATATGTAAAAGATGGATTTTTCAATCCTCAAGAAGTTTGCAGTCCAGTTAAGGAAATAAGATAGGAAATAGTCAAAGAATGATAAGAGGCAGCATATAATTACTATGAAAATGAATGGCATGAGCTATTCAAGCAATATGAAATCTGAACTATGTAGTATAAAATCAGACATAATCAGTCTTATTTATTGTTAATCTGTGATTACAATGAAAGTATTTTTCACTTCTCTTTTTAGTGTGTGACTATCTGCTTTGATCTTTTAATCACCTTTCTCAACCTCGTTCCTTTTTTCTGACAGAACCCCATTCAGTTTCCTTCCTTTGTGTTTCAAGATAGGCAAGCCTCAGCACAGGTGGTGAATGATGATGGTCTGATGAATGCGGTAATTCCAATCTTGTCAATGTTTGGTTACCAGTGAACAGTAGACATATCCTGTAGTTCTGGCCAGTTATACCTGAGGAAAAACCTGTTTGGGATATGGAAACTGGAAAGATTTTCCTGCTGTTATGAAGATATACAGATATGCATGGAAGGAAAGAGTCCCCATCTTCTTGGTCTTGTGTGTCTTCCTGTTGTATCTAGAACTGTAGCCAATCCTCTTGCAGCCATTAGGGGACAAATCTGAGGACAAAAGCTCCTTATTGATAGTAGT